GCTTCTACACGTTCACAATGCCCCCCCTTCACATTAGTAACTTCAATGCTTTCTTTGAACGACCCTGTTCCGTTCGCCCGCCTTCAATGTTTAACGCCAAAGCTGCCTTGGAGGGGGATGGCATGGGCTGCGCGAAAAAACTTCCTCCATCGTGCAGATCTTGTTGGATGCCAGCCGGGACATTAATGGCATGTTTTCGGAACATGCAACTGTTCATCAGCTGTTCATGTCACAACTGCTGGAGCTATACGTTTTCACTCTGCTGTTTTTCGGCACCCTTTTGAAATGTTTCCATGCTTCTTGCAGCTCCCTTACTTGCTTGCGACAAGCATATGGAGGAGGTATCCCCTGCCGCCCCTCTTGCCTTGGATTGAAAGAACCCTCTTCCGGCGTCCAGCGCCCTAGCCCTAGTCGGCGTAGAATTGCAGGGTTACCATTACCGCCTTTACCACGACCTGTGCTCAGCCCCAACTTAGGGGTCGCTCGCATCTTTGTCCCTTTCTCACTTGCTTGCACGCATCCAGGAGCAGGTTAGGTCACGACCTACCTACTCCACGCCCGTGGGCGCACTGGTTACTCTGTTGGTCACGACAGTGCTTGGATGCAGCCCGGTCATGTTCTGGCAGGACCTCCCCGAACGAACATTACATAACCATCCCTCTTGCTTGCTTGCTTGTTAAGGGGTGTGGGCCCCGAAGGAAGTCTGGCCCGTAGGCCTACCCCCGCAACGGTCCGCAAGTCTCGACATCTGTGAGGCCCGTTTTGGGGTTGAGAGAAAGGCTTGTTCCCCCACCTGAGCTTATGTACCCCGTCCCCCCAAAACATCCCAACTAAGACCTTGACCGTGAGAAACCAGTAAGCTCCAGGTGGGTCATCCGAGGTTTTTCCAGGCACAACTACGCGAAAGTGGCTTGTTTCCGGGAGTTGTTGTCAACCCCAAACACCAACATCCACTGCCGATACCAACAACTACATGGTGCTTACATTCGTTCTGTCCCTTCTTTCGCTGCCCTCGTGAGCTCCACTCCCCTGGGCACCTGCTGTGGGCTCTGTACCCCCGCGCAGAAAGAATCTCGTGTTACTTAACCCAGCCGGGACATTGACGGCATGTTTTCGGGATATGCATCTGTTCATCAGCTGTTCATGTCACAACTGCTGGAGCCATACGTTTTCACTCTGCTGCTTTCTTTTGATATGGTTCCATGCTTCTTGCGGCTCCCTTACTTGCTTGCGACAAGCATGCCGGCGTCCAGCGCCCTAGTCGGCGTAGAACTCCAGGGTTACCATTGCCGCCTTTACCACGACCTGTGCTCAGCCCCAATGCTCCCTCGACACATATCTATATCCCTCCCTTCTTTCTGCCGGGCTTAGGGGTCGCTCGCATCTTTGTCCCTTTCTCACTTGCTTGCACGCATCCAGGAGCAGGTTAGGTCACGACCTACCTACTCCGCGCCCGGGCGCGCTGGTTACTCTGTTAGTCACGACAGTGCTTGGATGCGGCCTGGTCATGTTCCGGCAGGACCTCCCTGAACGAACATTACATAACCACTCTTGCTTGCACTCAGCCAAAGGGAAGCCGAGGCCCCCCTCTCTGTCTCTTGCTTGCTTGCTGAGGGGTTTCGGCCCTGAAAGGACCCTGGCCCGAAGGCCTACCCCCACAACGGTCCGCAAACTCCTCAGTTCGAGCGGCCCCTTCCAGGGTTGAGAGAAAGGCTCGTTCCCCCACTTGAGCTTGCATACCCTGTCCCCCGAAAAACACCCCTTCTAAGACCGTGACCCTGTCATACCCGCAAGCTTCAGGTGGGTCATCCGAGTTCTCTCCAGTTCGACCACGCGGAAGTGGCATGTTGCCAGGACTTTTACTACAACCAAACATCCATACCAAGCAACGCATTACTGCAACACATCAACACTGACTCTGTCCCTTCCGCCTCCTCGGGGAGCTCCACTCCCCGAGTGTCTGCTGCAGTGGGCTCTGTACCCCCACGCCGTGGGAACATTGCAACCTTGCCTGCCTCCCCACCTGATCCCGAACAGAACCTTGCGCAACTGCACTGCCTTCACCTTCCCACCCCCGAACCTGCTACTCCTAACTCCGCTCTGTCCTTGCCGTCCCCCTAACTAGGGCCAAGCAGGGCATGTTCCATTGCGAACAAAACACCGAGCAACCCCGCAAGGACAGTTCTGCTTGTGCCTGGCTTCGGCGAAAAAGTTTCGGCACCTCGCCCCCCTGACCAGTTGCTCGAATTCACCTAACCTAACTTGAAACGCTTGCGGCGGGTCGTGTAGGCTCCCTCGAGGCACTGGCCGCCGGGTCCCCCATGTTCTCGCCGTCGTCCGCATGGTCGCTTGAGTCCGGCCGCACCAAGCAACTAAGGGGCAGACTAACCAGTGTGGGTTGGGGACAAAGGCTTCACTGTGGCTGCTGCTGCTGCTGCTTGCGAGGGTTTGCCGGCCATTGTACAACAACGAAAAAGGTAACACCATCGCATGAAGGCTGGCTCCCCCTCGGGCTGAAAATCCCAATCAAAGTTTCTGTTCAAAGGCTGAGCGAAAATGCCGGCATGACTCTATCACAGTGCCAATTTTGTGCAGTCGGTGCAAGGGCGGAGCATGAGGCTCCATTGGCAGTAGGTTGGTATGGCTCCAGCGGCCCGTCACGAATTAGGCTTAACTTCACAGGCACTGTAAGAAAACAGAGTGACCTGTCTATGAGGTCGGTTCGAAAAATTTCCCCCTCACGCTCACTGCTTGTGGTTCGTGGTGTCCTCCCCTCGCATGCGTGCTTGTACGCGTCCTATGGCTCTCCTTGTGGGTCCCGGCACCAGCCGTGCTCTTTTCGGACTGCGGCTTCTCCGGGCTGTGGCTCGGCGTTCTTGGTCTGGCCGCCCCCCTCGCACTGGAGCTAGCCGGTGTTCTTTGTGGGCTTCGTCTTGGAGTCAGCGGCTGCATTTCCCCCAGCTGGGGTGTCGTGTCTTCTTCGTGGCTGCTGTCTTCGTTGCCTCCCCAGTCCACCTCGTCTTCTTTGTAGGTGGCGGTCGTTGTTGTTGGACGGTCCGTCCCTCGGCTGTCGGGTCGGACCAGGGTTCTCCCCGCTGCTTCCACGCCGGTGGCTGGCTTTGGGCTGGTGCTTGCCTTTTCGCACGGCGTCCTTCTTTTTCCCCACGCAGCTTCTCGGTCTTCTTGTCCTTTTTGGCTTTCGGGCTTCTCTTTGAATTCCTGCTTGGCTTGGCTTAGGAGTTGCCCGACCTTCCACGGGTGCTTGGCAATGTAGAGGAGAAGCTCCTTCATCACCTTGGGGTTCCGCTTTCTCACGATGGCGACTAACTTATCTGCTTGGCGACCTGTTTCCCTCCGGGCGTTGTGTCTCTGGACGTATTGCTGCCATTCTTGCGCCTCGCCCTCGGTCAAGATCTCCCCCGTCTCGAGGTTCAGGAAGTTTCCCTTTCGCCAGTTTTTCTGGATACTTCGCCCTATCCATCTGTCAGGTGGGTCTGGCTCATAGAGCAGTGCCGTCCCTTGTTCACTTTCGAAGCGCACGTGCTCCTCGTATGGTCGTGTTTTCCCCGCTACTACGCAGGATCCCCCTCCTCTGGGCTGGTACAGGTCGTGCTCGTCGGCCTCCTCCTTCTGTTTCCGCATGTCGCTGGGTGCTGCCGTGCTGGCAATCCCCTCGGTCGCCACTTGATGTCTGTAGCAAGTGCTCCCGCTGTCATGGGATTTGTGGTAGAAGGGGCCTTCCAAGCAGGCTCTGCAGGTAACACCCATCCCCCTCAGTCTTTCTGCAAGCACGCAGTGTTCCTGCCAGGTGGTTTTGGTTTTTGCCGGCTTGGCTTCCGGCTCTCTTCGGATCCTGCTTCTCCCCCTGGTTGGGGCTGCATCTCCCCCCGGCTCGGGTCGGGATGCCGAGCTTGACATTCTGGATGATGTCGAGGTAGTGCAGCAGGATCTCCCCGTGTACCGTGTCGAGAAAGTATGCTCCGTCCCCCTACTGGCGGGCCACCCTCACTGAGGGGTCGCGGTCAGGTTCGGGAGGATGCGCTTTGCAGTGGCGCCTCTTAAGCAAAATGGCGTCGGGCGCAGGACTCAAGCGCCCGCTGGAGAAAGCGCAAAGGCGTCAGGTCAACCCTGCGCCTTCCCCCCGATGCCAGGAGGGTGCACAGCCCTCCAAGACAAAGGTGCAGACACTTGAGCCAAAATGGCTACGGGGGGAGCTCTCTCTCTCTCTCTCTCTCTCTCTCTCCCGGGCATGGGGACGGGTCAGCGCCCCCGGGCATCATGCCCACCCGTCGTGTTGACGGACTCGGGGGGTGAAAGAAAAGGAACGGCAGACCTTGTAAGGCTAGAGCCATAAATCGTACGATATCGGAACCCAAAGTCCCCCGTTCTTTTGCTGACATAGCATATGCCTGATCCCCCCATTAAGCAACAAGATCTCCTACAATGCTCCAATAATAAGACTTGAGGGGATTTGTTGGCTCTCTCTCTCTCTCTCTCAAACGGACTCGGATGCCTGCCAATACTCAAAACGACTGCTTTGCTCGGGTCGGTGGCTTTCCGTTTTGGGGCTCTCCCTTGTCCTCAGCCGAGATGCTGAGGGGTCAAATGCCAAATCTCCGTCGCAAGCAGGGATTTCGGCTTCGGCCTCCAGCTCAACATCCACTTCCGGCTTCCGCGGAGAGGGCATGAAGCCCAGCTTGAGGTTGACGAATGGAGACTCGGCCCATGGAACGGAGTTGATGCTCGCTTCGTCAGCCATGCCAACACCTTCTGGAGAGGCCGGCCGCAGCACTGCGGGACGGCGGGTGGGGCTTCGCAACTAAAAACTTCCGTCCGCGAATGCTTGAAGCAAAACTGTCCGCAAAAGCGGATGTACGCACAGCTTTCGAAGTCGCGACGCACTCTGCACTTCGGAATTCTGCAAGATAAGAACATCCTGTTCGTGCTGTGTGAATCAACTCCTTGCTGTAGCAGCGCCCCAGACAAAAGCCCTGGCGTGCCTCCGAGAATGGCAGCACACAAGCGTGCGATCTGGCGATAGTCGGCACCTCAACAGAACGAAGCAAACACTTTCCCCCCCGTGAGAAATTACCACCAATATCAATATGCATGGGGATGTGCGGCTGCATCCAGGAAGCTGATCGCTTCGCACGGCTAAAATCTCTACGATCACGGGGCTGGAGACTCCTGCTAAACCTCCAAAGCGGGGAGCGGGGGAAGGGTGGTCTTTACTCTTGCGTGTCTTCAACACTCGATGGAAGCATAGTTTCTGCAGAAACCATACGTCTGTATGGTGATACGAGGACGAAAGCGGCTCCCAGTGCACAAACCAAAAGGTCGCTGCCGTCCGAGACGCTGCTGCGAACCACAGGCGAGATGCGGATCTCCTCCAAGCTCCGAGCTGGTCAAGCTTCAAACTCTGCTCCGCTTCTGTTTTTCTTGGCTCTCCTACAGTTCTTGAGTGCCCCGTGGGCTTTGGTTTTCCGTGGCCCATGCAGCATCCATCACTGATAATGAACATGGACTGCATGTAAACGTCATGTCGACTTGCATCGCCTTGGCACCACGTCCATACTGGCGGCGTATCTGGCAAGGCGTAGCCGACACATGCTGCGGATGTCAACACACTTAGACTGACAGATAGGACTTCCCCTCGACCCTGGCAAATCACTCGTTGATCCGTGCTGTCCACGCCGTACAGTCCAAGAGCCGCGATGCATGTTATAACACCACTTGGCTTCCATCCCCGCCTGGGCGTCAAAATCCTCCTCCTGTATCGTGCCGACTTTGCGAGAGTGACAAAACAGACTCATAGACGCTCCAAGTCCAGACGAAGATATCTTGCAGACGGGGATAACGGGTATCCCTCCCGTCCTCTCGGGTTTCAGGCTCGTCCTCGGCAGCCGCCAGGGCCAGCGTACCACCGCGGGACGCGGCCTCGCTCAGCTGCGAAGGCTTCGAGGCCAGACTGGCACACCGGTACACTCCACGCAAAGCACACTCCTAGCGCACTCAGAGGCATCTCTTCGCACCTGCGCCTGCCCCTCGTACCGCACAGTCACCGGATGCGTGCCTTGGCAGGTAGACCCCTCATAGTGCTATTTTCAATGCCGCATTCGCCCGCATTCTTCATGAAGAGCCCCTGCGATAGGTTTCTAGCACTGTGGACTCTGAGAACCTCAATATCGTCGCTCCTGTAACTTCAGGATAAGCGGCGACCGGAGACGTTGATCACAGGAACTTCTCTTGCACTGGAGAAGAAACCTCACCCATGGGGGATACCCAGCTGCGCGGCTGGCCCTAGCACTCTCTAGAAACTTCTGTGCGTCAGCAGTCTGACTCAACAGTCGTGGTTGATCACAATGCCTTTATCTTAGATGTGTAAGTGCGCACCTTCGGACTTAGGGATCCAGATCACATGTAGTGCGACAAAGAGCAACGCAGGCTCTTTCAGCTGCAAGCGCTTGTTGGCCACGGCTGCAGACTTCTGAAGGCCCACGAGGTGCGGGCTCGAGAAGTATTCCAAGAAAATCTTTTGCTGCAACGTGGCAGACCTCGGATCGGGAATCACAGAATCGCCGCGGTGCTACTAGTATGGGTCCGTGCACATGCAGAAACGGAATCCTTGGGCCCTGGCATGAGAACCAATTTCAAGTCTGGCTTGCGACGCAGGAGCTCCCGGAGGATTGTGAGCAGGAAGTCTGTATGCAAGCTCCTCCAGGCTTGCCCAACACGGCAAGGAAAGTTCATCCTAAAAGCTTTGATGCAGATCCCAAACTCAGTCCTCTCGTGGACCTCGTCCAGAATGATGTGGGTGACCCTTGCCACTAACTTCCATTGGATTCCATGCACCCTAGTTCCCGCAAAGATCATGCCAAGAGATCACAATTCAAGATCCCCGCTTCTCAAGCCCTCCGAACGGGGGCTTATGGAAGCTCTAGCCGCCGGTTTGAAGCTTCCTCTGCTTGCCTTGCTTGGAATTGCAAGACTCGTCTAATTTAATTGGGGTTCCAGGCAAAGCCGGAGTCATGCGCATCTAGGCGGGTCGGTAATATACCTATATGCGCATACAGATATACAAACACCGTTTTCACCTTGGCAGCGGTAGTCGACCTGGCTGTGGCGGTGGTAGTCGTAGTTAGTAGTAGCACCTGCAGCAGCAGCGGTTGCAGTAGAGGTGGCAGTAGTAGTAGCAGGAGGAGGAGTAGTATGTCTTTGTACACTCCGGCTAAGCTAAGCCAATTTAGCTGCTGCTTAAAACATCGAGATGACTTCCCTTCCGAGCCCCCGAAATTGTCGGGCTGGCTATCCTATCTGACTCAGTGCCTCTTCACTCGCTGCAGTGACTATCCCAGCTCCATTTGCTCCCCCGACAATGGGGACCATGCTCGTAGGTTGGCACGCAATCTGCACACGTTCAGGCTGTGCTGTTTCAATCGAGCTCAGCACTGTTGCACCCCAGAATTATATATGGTTTTCCCAGACTAGTCCCACTGCTACGGGCCCACTCTGTCGCAGTGTCGTCTGCAGGTTGGTGCTGCACTGTCTGCACATGCACTCGCTTTTGCAGCTGCAAGCGAGCTCCGCGTGGTGTTGCATCCCAGGAAGTAAATAAAATTCCGGACAGCCTTGTGAGTGGCGGACCCGTGTAGCCAATCCACAGCTTTGCACCCAGTCTGTAGTTGCACCGTAGGTCTTCCAGCCCCAATGGAGCAGGCCCTACATATGGTTTCAGTTCTGTGTCAACTGCCAGAGCTCACCACGCGCACTCAGTAGTGTCTCCCGGCAGTCCCCGCACTCGCATGGCTTCCGATCACTGTCCACATATTCAGTTCAGAGCAGAAGTCTTGCAGAGCGAGCGGCGCAGGCCATGGGGCACAAGACCCGCACAGGCAGCCATGGTTTTGCGACAGTGGTGGTTTTACACCAAAGTTTCCTATCGGTGTCGGCCCACGAGGTGTACAGGGACAGGAGGTAGTAGCGGCCGTAGTGGTAGTTTTTGTCACGCAGTAGTCGTAGTAGTAGTAGTAGTAGTAGTAGTAGTAGTACTAGTACTAGTACTAGTACTAGTACTAGTACTAGTAGTACTACGGTGGATGGAGGAAATCTTGCACCACCTACACATCTTGTTTCGAATACACATCCAAGCAACAACCCCGCGCCCCCTTCTTAACATTGACGACAGACCTCTTGGGGCGGTGCAAGATTTATGTCATTGGAACGATTTTGTAAATCCCCGTGTTCATAGCAATGTTAAGAAGGGGCGCGGGGTGAAGCTAACTAACATATCTTAAAAGTGGTGCAAGATTTCCTCCATCCACAGTCCCCAGAGCGGGGTCTAGCTTTGGCCTGCTCGTGGCTTTCCTACATGGCTTGCAGATACTTCCAGTCAGGGCAACGTTGCATAGAAGTCACAGTCAAGTCAACGTTCAGTCAACGTTACAGTCAACGTTCCAGTTAACGTTGCGAAAATGCTGGCAGGGGCAGCATTTTGGAGTTTTCAAGCATAAAAAGCAAGAAATACATGTATTTCTTGCTTTTTATGCTTGAAAACTCCAAAATACTGCCCCTGCCAGCATTTTCGCAACGTTAACTGGAACGTTGACTGTAACGTTGACTGAACGTTAACTGAACGTTGACTGTACGTTAACTGCAAATTCCTACCAAATGTAGCAAAGTTGTGGAATTCTTGCGATTTTTGAATGACCTGGCTGCTGCGCAAGATGCACTGTCAGGGCTGCATGGCTCCATTAGCGAAGACAGCGACATGGACGCTGCTATACGGCGATTCAGATTTTGCTGCAATGGCATTTCATGGCAAGCCACACAAGTACGTCACGCACCATGTCACGACCCTCTAGAAACGTCATATCACGAGCCTCTAGAAACGTCATTACTCGAGTCGGTGGATGGAGGAAATCTTGCACCACCTACACATCTCGTTTCGAATACACATCCAAGCAACAACCCCGCGCCCCCTTCTTAACATTGACGACAGACCTCTTGGGGCGGTGCAAGATTTATGTCATTGGAACGATTTTGTAAATCCCCGTGTTCATAGCAATGTTAAGAAGGGGGCGCGGGGTGAAGCTAACTAACATATCTTAAAAGTGGTGCAAGATTTCCTCCATCCACAGTAGTAGTACTAGTAGTACTAGTAGTACTAGTAGTACTAGTAGTACTAGTAGTAGTAGTAGTAGTACTAGTAGTAGTAGTAGTAGTAGTAGTAGTAGTAGTAGTAGTAGTAGTAGTAGTCGTAGTCGTAGTAGTAGTAGTAGTAGTAGTAGTAGTAGTAGTAGTAGTAGTAGTGGTAGTAGTAGTAGTAGTAGTAGTAGTCGCAGTAGCAGTAGCAGTAGCAGTAGCAGAAGTAGTAGTACCAGAACTTGTTGTTGTTGTCGTTGTTGTGGCAGTCGTCGTAGCAGTAAGAGCAGCAGCGGCAGAGGCAGCAGCAGTAGCCAAATCACCTGAACAGTGTGGTCAAGAAGCCCATGGTCACTATGACAGCCATGAGACGACCTGAAAGAAACACACGAAAATCATAGTTGTTGGTTGCGTAATTTACAAATCAACTTGGCAGGTGGCTTTTGAAGCACCCAGTTCTGGTTTGGGAAACGGTGACGGTGTGTCGATGCCTCTCCTTCGGGTATCGTGCAGAATCGCGGATATTCCAAAACGTGTTGGATCAAGTTTGTGCCAACCAAGCGGCCCATCGAGATCTGGCGAAGCATTTAGCCGAGTCAGCAGCACGCCAGAGGTACAGAAAAGCAGCCTGGTCAACCTGCTTCAGACATGCCAGTGACTATGTCGTCGGCTGGATGTAAGGCGATGGGACTGACGAGCAGCACGATATCGCACACGACAGGAACATCTCAACAAGCTGAAGACAATATGACCATCGCAGGCGATCGGCCTGGTCGCCATAGCATTCAAGCGCACGGCAAAGCCCACCACATCGCCGACAGGTTCGCCTTGCAACTCTTGCAGATTCTACGTAAACGACAGATAGGCCTGCAGGCTTCTGCTTGCCCTTGCAACAGCTTCATAGCATGATCACGTCACGAAGCGGCTACTTGTAAGCAGCAACATTCAGCTGACAAGCTCGGCGCAATTCATGGTTCGATCGAGAGATGGGCTTGGACAAAGCATGCGGGGAGTCTGTCGGTTTTGCCCCAAAGCCTCGAGCCTCACAGTGTTAGGAGCAATGAACGACGCTTCCTCACGAGAGCTTTCGTGAGTCTCGAGTCTCTTCGGAGCCTGCCCTGCTTTCGACAAACCCTGCACGGACGACGTGCAAAGCTCCTGCAGACATCACGGCCGCAGCCATGTACCTCCACAAGATCAAATTTCCGGCTCAATGCCTCGTTCCTCAGCCACACGCGTGGCCACGCCAACAGCTGCTATGCGCCTGGGCCTCAGAGCCAAGACTTGAAAACCCCTTGTGCCAGATCACGCCTAGCAATTTTAATCCGAGTCTTTGCACATATCTCAAGCAAATCAAAGACACGTTTCTTAAGTGATCGCATTCATTCTGGTGGGTGTGCTGCTAATAAATTAGATTCAGCCAAGCCACGGGAGCAAGATGCATGATTCGACTTGGGTACCACCAAGGTGGCTCTGCTACGTCACAAATCCCAGAAGTTGCCGAGCTTCTTTCACAAGTGTTCAAACCGGCAAGCCGGCTGCGGGGCTAAGATCTCAAGAGGTGTCTAGATGATTTGCGGCTTGGCTACGCTTTGCGCGGCGAGTTCAGGTGAGATTTGCTCAACAGCACTTGCTCGGGCAGCACAGATCTTAGCTGCAGTCTGGATGGTGATGTAGCCGCCTTTGCATTCGTGGTTGTTGCTGGTCGCGCCTACTCCAAGTGCATTTCTCCGAGTAAGGCCCAAAATAGATTCTAATTAGCCTCATCATAAGAACGAGCTGCACTTTACCTTCCGCAAGTCTAATACCACGGCGAGTCAAAGTCCCAGCGGCTGCGTGCAGATAATTGAGATCTCGCCCCCTTTTCCAGATGCGGCCGCAGCCTGTTCGCAAGTGGACTGCTCTGCTGCTGCCAAGCCGATCTCACAAAACGGTATGCACGCCAGTACCACAAGTCCATAGCAACCGGTACATCCACTTGAAGACGCACGCATGCTGCACAACCTTCAATGCTTTATGCTGCAGCCCTTGCTCACATGATTTTTGAAAAGCCCGGTTGTGCAAAGTGGCCAACGCTTTCTGCCCGTGATTCTGCACAAAGCATCGAGTCTTCTGACACAGCTCATACGTAATCCTACGGATGGTGATGCCAGCGTGAGTAGAACTCAGGTCCTGGTGCGAACGGTTCAGACAAAGGTTACTAGCATTGCCTCGTAATACTTTTTGGGTACTTCCCAAATACGAGCATCGAACAGCATGGTTTACACAAGTGCGAGAACAAGGCCCAGCAAAAATACCCGCAAGGCAAGTATCATAGTCTCCACTCGCAAATCATTAATGATATTTCTGTTCGTGCGAGTGTACCGTCTTTCTGAGTCAGACTACACAAACCATGCCTATCATATCTTCTGCCTGTTTTCCATACAACAATACGACGAAACTAAAGCAACCTTGCTCGCAACTCAGTCAGAGTTCAAGATTCGACGCACGACCATGCTTCCATCTCTTTTACTGGCTTGTTTTTGGTTAGATGGCTTCAAGATTTGGAGTGCTTAGAATATGCCAGCATAGACCCCGAACAGCATCAGCAGCAAGACTACACGATTATCCAGAAGACACGAGGAGACCGCCAGAAGACTTCAGCAGGAAACCACCAGCCGACCACCAGGACACCAAGCCAAAATGCTTCTGCCAACTTCTGGCGGGGTTCGCAGGCGTCACCAACATGCATGGTGGGATCAGAGACGGAAACAAAGTGCTTCGCGATGCCAAGATCAAGCCAACGATACTGGAATCTGCAACGAAGCTTTCCCGACACGTGCAAGTCATGGGACTCTGAACGTGAGAAAGAGCCCCGCATGCAGTGCCCATAGTGTGGTGTGTTTGGGGAATAACGGACCGAACAATCTGCTGCTACAGTAGCTGCCAAACGATGCATGCCTCGTGCGTCTATCATCAAAGCCGAAAGCCCGTGTCTTGGGAGGAGCAGCATGGCCTCGAGAATAAAGTTTGGGCACTGCGTTGTCTTCCCGGACCCGGTTTCACCGGCAACAATGACCTCGGCACGGCGTCTTCAAGGCTTTCGGATCTTCGAGGCACGCCCTGGAGGCTTTGCAGACTTGCTGCCACTGTCACTTTGTAGCATCTTCCATGTCGTGTGTGGTCGTGACTTGCACCGAGCAGAACAAACTTTGGGAAGTCTTCACGGCTTCAGGGTGTCCCACCACCTGGTGAGCCTGCAGCGCTTCGAGAAAGGCCGCCCGCGCCTCGGCGGATCTTCCATTAAAGACTTCGTGTCTTTGCTTGCTTCCCGCTCGGTTGTGCGAGAGTCTGCGAGAACCGGGAAGAACCAAATGCGCGTGATGCCTGGCCTCTGCGACAGGCAATGCTTCCCGGGAGCGTCTTATCTCTGAATCCTGCACAAGCGACGGGCGACAAGAATTCCATCGGAGCAGCAGCGGCACACGCGGTCGTCCTTGCCCTCGTACTCTTGCGCAGCTCTTTGGAGACGCAGACCTAAACAGCGTGAACTGCGCATACTGCGCCCCTATATGCTCTACAACGCTCAGCCCGCAAACTGCAAGGTGGCCGCTGTATGTACTTGTTCCATGGAGGCGGGCACATCCGGTCCACGACAAGGCTGCTCTGCCGTCCAGTCCAAGCCGGCGGCTAAGAGTGGCTTTTTCTGCGTCGGTGAGCGGCGCCCAGCCTTGCACAGCTCGTTTGGCATACCTTGGCATCGCATAGTCATCGTCGTCATCGCAGGCAAAATTAGGCGTGCCTCGACGGGCAGGTTTACACGGTTGGAACCCTGCAGCCGGCACTGAAGACTTGATCGTGCCTCCTTGCAACCGCAAACACATCAAACACGTGACCATGACGTAGACGACCTAGACCTAGACATCTCCTAGCTCGACCGGGGAACGCTGCTCGCACAGCTTCCAGGCTCGACAAGGCCGCCGTTTCCTTGCCGGACGCACTCGAATAGTCATCAGAAGTCGGGTCTGAGATGGTCTGAGTCTAGACGAGCTTTGTCTTTTGATTTTGCTCTTATTCTGCGCTCCTCTGCACCGCCGGATGTCGGTGAGGCGTCGGCCTCTCGTGCAAAAGCGATTCTCCTAGAGACTGCCACGAGGCGCAGAACCGAGTAAGCCCTGCTGCTGATATACCTCACCAGCGAGTGCGTGCATGCGCACATGCACATGCTCCAGTGAGCTTTCGCCTGGCTTGTGGCGGAGTCTGCGGCCTCTCACACAAAACCAATTCAAAGGGTCGCTGGATTCATGGAGATAGCAAAACGAGGGAAGCCACAACTCGCATCCTACCCCGAAATGGTCCCAAGACCAAGCGGCGGCAACAAGAAACACGACTCCCAAGTGATACCCTGTTCTCGCTATTGGCCTTCTCAATCCCGTCCGGTGGCGCAGTAGCGGATGACGGAATGTCCCTTCAAGGCCAGGGCTAGTGAAACCTCCTACATGCTTTGACTTGTAAAGGCTCCGACCTCATTGAAACAACCAGAACGGAGCCGTCGGCCAAGTCCGAAGTTCGCTCCTGGGCAACACAGGCGATCACAAGACGATGCAAGATACTCAGACTCAAAGCCTGGACATGGACTCAAAGGAGGCGCGCAACAGACAAGCCGTGCATTATACAAGCAGTGTGATGCGAACCGGCAAGCACCAGCACCCCGGCGTTGCATCCTTTTTTCTGCATGGATGCAGACCTCATTCGGCATTCAGCTGTCTACCAGCGATAGATACAGAGTAAGGCTTCCAAGACCTCTTGTTTGGCCTAGCCATGACTTTCAAGACTTCGTCGAGCTTACCCTGATAGGTGTCTTTGGCCGGTTTCTCTCGAGCAATGGGCTGTGCAGTGGAAATCGGCTGGATCACGTATTCCTTGCCCTGGATGACCGGCACAGCAGGATGAAGGCGCTTTGCGCTCTCTTCCTCCTGTAGGGCCAAGCTCTCTTCGGTCTCTGGCGGCGGTCGTGGAATGCTCCCGACCTTGTCACCTTCTGCCAGGAAGCCCTCCAAAGTATCCATCTCCTCTGGGATCATGATCTGGCGCAGCCATCTCTGCACCAAGCCTCGTGCACGCTTTCGGTTGCGCGGGGTCTCCTCTGGATGGGTCTGGAGCTTGGCTACGACCTGTCCAAGCCGGGGCTCACCGGCGTCGCGCAAGGCATCTTTGGTGATGGGCAATCGTTCCATGCATTCCAGCAACACAGAGCGAATGTGCACCGACGGCAGCTGCCCGTTCGGTAGATTCTGCAGCCAGACTGCAAGGACCTTGCACCCACCATACGCGATGAAGGCATCGGAAAACTGGAATTTCTCCATCACCTCTCTCGCCTCTGGAAGCATCTTCAGCTTCTTCAACATGGGCTTTCCCTGCTGGTAATCCTCCAAGTCTTCCGCGGCAATGGCTTCCATCTTCTTGACGAAGCCTTCGACAAACCTGGCAGCTCATAGCACTTTTTAAAAGGCCGCAATTTAGCCCAGCCCGAGATGGCCCCGCCCAGGTTCAAAACAGATTTCTTCACCAAGGGACACGTGGGCCTCCTCGTCTTTGATGACGAGACCTCCAATTCTACACGAGGCACGCACTTCCGGCTAAGAGTTGATTTCTACTTTGCCGCGGCGAATGGGGTGAAAGGACGGAAGGTCCACGAGGAAAGGACATCTCTGCGAGGCCTCGCCGTGGCTTGATGGACTCCATCACTTGCGCCCACTTCACGGCGAGTTTCTCGGGCTCCGCTTCCTGTTGTCTCAAGACAGATCGCTGGCTTGGGGTTGGTTCATCAGGCCGTGTCTGGGGCGGCTGACCGCTATGCTTACTAAGCAATGCAACACTGGATCTTTAGTGTGGCGGCCTCACCTATAGACGTCACCGGCGTGTCTTGCGATTGCCTTTCGCCCGGTGCACGCTGCAAACGTGTTCTAAACGGTGGCCTGGTCCCCACAAGAAACTCGAACAGTGCTGTTGCTGCATCTCTTGATTTCACCTGGATTTTCCGAAAGGGTTTTCATTGTTTGGGTAGGGAGTGTCATGTAAAGGGAGATGGGATTAAAGTGATTAAAGCGTTAAGTTCTGGTGCAACCTCAACAACACTCTTCTGCAACCGATCTCCCCTGCAAGGCTTGCTCGTGAGATGCTGTCCCTATCCACTGGTTACATTTGTAATTCTCCGCTGTACCCTGTCAGCATGCGGATGCAACCATCCATGGATGTGCATCCAGTCCACACGTATGCCCCTGACTTCAGACCAGAACAATCGTAGACAACAGCAGGTCTGCATTGTTTGCCTCTTGCATTGCTGAAGTTCTACTGCACGTATATCTTTGCTTACTACCGACAGGCGGAGAGACAGCGAGAGATGGCCTACACCCACGACACTACATTTATAGTACCCTGGCTCCATGCACAGCGCATCTCTTTTCTTATGAGTTCCGACAGCTGTCGGGATCAGTCTAAGGTTCCAAGTTGCCAAGGCCGGCCTCTTCAGGTGCTGGAAGAGTGGCGGATCTGCAAGGGTCCGCAGCTGGGTTTACCAAGGAACTTACTCAACTGACTTATGCCCTTTGCCTTCGGCGGCGCTTGCCCACGCTGCCGGGAGAGGGGCTGGCGGACCGGGCGCGCCTCTCTTCTGTTGTCAAAGCATGTCAAAGCTTGGCGGACGGAAGGGCAAGTGGAAAAGTAAGTGAACACTGTCTCGGTACGTCTCGAAGGATCTCCCCCGCAGGGTTGCAGCACTGTGGATTCAATCATCCTTCTTCAAGCTGAGCTGCCGTGTTCGACCCGGCGAGCTACCGGTTACGAGACCGGGAGAGGGGACGTTGAATTGGACGCTGCTCGGCGCCCTGTCCTGCCAACTGGGCTGATTTCTCGTAGTTTGAGCTGCAAATGCAAGCTTCGAATACTTACTGCAGCTCGCTGGGTCGATCTGTTGAACTGTCAGCACCGTCTAGCTGCAGTGTGGCAGGTTTGAGTTCTTGCGTCGTATATCCTCAGGTCCGGCCTGGGGCAAGCTCCTTGCACCTATCAGTTCTCTGCATGGCAAGATTCTTGCGAAACACGCCATCTGAAACTAGAACTACGAGTCGGAATTCCAGTGTGACCACATGGCTACGGCCGCAGGCCATTGAAATCGAATCGTCCGGACGGTGCAACCGTCATGACGTTGACAATCTTCGCAATAGCGACCGCATTTTTTCACTGGAAACTCAGCAAAGCCGTACAACACCGAATCCGAATAGGACAGCCCCACAACAACTGAAACCAAGCCGCCTCCCGACTATGCGGCTTCCACAACCCCGACGAATCACAACAGAACCGACACTGCCAGCCGCACCGCTGCTCCATGAAATCCAACTCCTAACTAGCTTTATTTCTGACTGCAAGAACAGTACCACTAAATCTCAATCTTGGCAGACTATGCACAAGCAAAAGAAAAACACAAAGGTAGCAAGGCAGCTCAGCAGAGCTTCGCGTGCTATGACCCTGTCCGAAAAGTGCTCGCTGTCGTCAAATTGAAGATTATCCCCAAGGTCGAACTTCTCGAAGATGTCGTCATCTTCACCTTCGAGGTCCTGCTGTCAGCAACGCTGCCGAATACGTATTCAAGCTTAATCACAGTGATGTCCAAAGCCAATACGTAATCTTGGTTGGCGCTGTTGACGCCGTTGACGCTGTGAATCCAACAATACGCTGACGCCGCTGATGCCGCTGACGCCGTTGACGCCGCTGACACCGCTGACGCCGTTGACGCCGCTGACGCCGTTGACGCCGCTGACGCCGTTGACGCCGCTGACACCGCTGACGCCGTTGACGCCGTTGACGCCGATGACGCCGTTGACGCCGTTGACGCCGCTGACGACGACGTTAACGTCGTCAACGCCGTCGACGCCGCTGACGCCGTTAACGTCGTCAGGCGCTTCACGTCGTCACGTCGTCGCGTCAAACCCCACATCGTCACGTCGTCGCGCGCTGCGCTGCAGGAACTCGCGCTGTCAGATCGTCACGGGTTTTTATTGTCGATGTGTCGCGGCGCTCACGCTCGAGTGGGCACGTCGTCGCGCGCGCGCGGCGCTGGAATCTCACGTAGTTTTATATGTCTTGGCGTGCCGTGCTAGGTTGCTATACTACATAAAGATATACTTGGAATGATTGTCAACTAAAAGATAAGTAGCTGGGTTTCCATATTCAAGCTTGTTGAGATATAGTTTCCAAGTCTTGCATTTTGTACAGAACAGCCCACGTTCAAGTAGTTACGTTGTCCAAGGCACGTGCCTCAGTGGGTCTCGTGTATAGTTTTTTTTTTTTGAACGCCTTTTTCCCTTTGCCAGTACGTGACTAACGTCAGGAATCCGCATTCACGGAAGGCTGTAACCCTTGCTGCCCCTCAGTTGTGCTTGTCACCGTGTTGCACCCTGTCTCTCGACGTCCTCATTCTGGCTGGGGTGTCGCCTCTGAATCTGGAACTTCGGTACCCTGTGCTGTCCCAGTTTCATCCAGCTGTGTGTCTTGCCCGTGTACTCCGGTTTGTATGCCTGCCCACATGTTCATGTCCGCAGCCCACACGTTGAGGTATTCCTCCGATACATCCCAGTAAACCACTCCCTGCAAGACTTGGCGAGCTTGCTGCAACCCTTGTGCACGGAGCTGACGGAAAGTCTGGAGCCACGATTCTCCTTTTGTCTCAGAGATCTCATCGTCGGTGAGCTCACCCCTCGTGTATAGGGTTAGGGTTTAGGGCTTTGGGCGATTTTGTTCACACTGACATTGTTTCCAGCAACGACAAATGTAGACAAATTGGTATTGGTCTCTTTCGTCCATGTCATGAAGTCATATGTCGGGAGTTTGGGTTATTCTAGCATGTCACACCAAATGAGCTCGGAAAATCCTGCGCGAGCACCTGTGACATCGACATCTCCACCTACGCCAGCTTGGCTGCCACTTGAGTTTTCCGGGGCTTTAAACGAGGTTTAAAGGATTTCATATGGTTCTACACGTATGAAGACCTCACAGCGCAACCCTCAGACCCAATCCTTTTCAAGGGGGACTTTGCGAATAGCCCTGTCTCCACGGGTTTGCTCTGCGGGGGGGTGAGGAAGATGCGGCCATGCGAGAGGCTGCCAAAGCTGCTTTAGAAGCTGCCATGGGGGGGGCAGGGGAGGGTCCTGGGGCCGGAGGAGGTGGGGGGGGGGGGGGGCACCTTTCCTGCTCCTACTCTTACGCCCGGCCGTAGGTTTGGGGATCACTAAAGAGAGCGAGACGACTGATGCCGCGCGCACTGCTGCTGTGCTACTGCTACTAGGTCGCAGAGGTAAGCGTTCCGACAGCCCCGAGAAGCGACAGAAATTGCAAGTTCAGAATCCTCATATGTTTCCGCCCCACTTCGGAGGAGCCGTGGCGGGGCTTGGACAGGCTTCTGCCCCTGTACCACATTCCTCCCCGGGGGTTCCGGTTTTCGACATCAACACAGCTGTGGCCCCGCCCTGGGCGATTGCCATGCAGCAAGGGATAAACAAAATCGAACAGAGCCAGCTGGACATTGCTCTGAGCTGCCAAGAGACGCGGCAGGACCTTCGTTCCGTTGTCGAAAAGGTAGCGCATCTTGAAAGTCGTCAGGACCAGTCTCTGCATCGTACTCGGGACCTCGAGGTTAGACTTCAGGAGATGGAAAAGGAGTTGCGGGAGCTCCGTTCTCGCTCTCCTAGCCAGGCGCCCACCACTCCTAGGGGTGGCCCTGGCACGCCGAGGACTGGGATTGTGCACCATACTTGGCAGCTTGTAGTGGGAGGCTGGGCCGATGCCCGGCGCCTTGACATGGAGGACGAGGTCTGAGCTTGGTTTGCAGCAGTCAAGTGCGAGGCCCTGTTACGGGACATTCATGGGCCCCAGACTCGAGGCAATACCTGTCGTGTCAGTATTGTCTACACTGAGGACACGGATAGGGCGAACAGGCAGATACAGAGCAAGCTGCTGCAGTGTCTTCAGGAGCATGGCTGGGCAAGTCACCTTGAAGGGCGAGCCGGTCGTGTTTTGTGGGTCAAGCGAAACAGGTCCCCTGAAGAGCGGGCTACGGTTAGGGCACTGGTTACCCTGAAGAACTTGGTTTCCCAACACGCTCCCAAGAGTTCTTACGAGTTTGACTGGAAGGGTCGTTTCTGGGTGAAGAATCAGGAGGTCTTGCATCATGTTGCTGTTCAACCTTGCTGCGACCGGGGGCTGCTTCTGCTTGATGCTCGGGGGAAAGAGACGGGTTGGTGGGTTGAAGGGCCTCGACACTGCTAAACATCTCTGAGGGGGATGTGCATGCCCATTTTGCTATCACTTCCACGCAGTAGGAAGGGGGCAGGGGTCGAGAGTGCTGGCGGGGCAGTCCAGAATTCCGCGCATGCACTTGGAACCTGCATGGTAAGCACCTGGAGGAGCTGGCCACGTTATGGCAAGATCTTGTGGTCACTCCCGATGTTGTCTTTCTGCAGGAAGTGGGAGGGCTGCTTGAGGTAGGGGCTTCGGTTTCCGAGTCGGTACTCAAGTTGGCTGGTGAGGAATTTGTTGTGCATGTTATTCAGTCTGACAAGGCTCATCGAGCCCAGGGTATCTTGTTTCGAGCGGCTTTGCATTTGCGTGTCTTGAAACAGGTTGCTCTCCGGGTCTAGGGTTAGGGTTTAGGGCCTTAGGGATTCGACAGTTTTATAAGTCCTAAAGGGAGTTAAGACTAACCCTAAACCCGGGACCTGGAAAGGTGGGGCCCTTAGACGTCCCGGGTCTAAGGTTAGGGCGCAGGGCCTTAGGGTTGGTTTTGTTAATTGTTAAAGGAAAGCATCACCAGACGAGGACCTCACAGCGGAACCCCACGCAGGATTTGCCGAGCTCATTTGGTGTGATATGCTAGAATAACCCAACGTCTCGACATATGACTTGATGATATGTGGACGAAACGGACCAATACCAATTTGTCTACATTTGTCGTTGCTGGCCACAAATTACGGAAACAACGTCAGTGTGAAGAAAAATCGTCCCATCGAGCTCACAGTCAGGTACCATCACGGGACCTGGATGTAGGTTTAAATTTACAGGGTTGGGAGGGGTCTGTTGTTTTATGTGGTACTGTTACTGTCTTGAGATATAAACAATGTGCATACTCTCCACATTACCAGCACTACCCTCCGCTGACGACGTCGACGCCGTTGACGATGTTGACACCGCGGACGCCGTTAACGTCGTCATGCGCTTCACGTCGTCGCAGCAAAACTCACGTCGTCACGTCGTCGCGTCGTCACGCACTGCGCCCCAAAATTTACGCGCAGCTATGGACATCAATGCTTAATCACAACACTCGACTCACTCGGCGCATGGATATTGCCTAAGCCTCTGATCGTGCCTCTGGCTCAAAGGTCGGTCTGTTATTGGGCACAGGGGGAGGCGCCTTGTCGACTGGCGGGATCTGCATCTCCGCCGCTGGGTGCTCCACCACGTTGGAAGGCACGTCGATGAAAGCAGCCTCTTGCCGCTTCTTATCTTTCCTTGCGCTCTTGTCCTTCTTGTTCTTATCCTTTTTGTCTTTTTTCAACTTCTTCTCCTTCTTGGCTTTTTTGCCAGACTCTTTCTGCTTGTTTCGTTCCACTTGCTCCTCCACTTGCTCCATGAGGGCCTGCGGCACCACCCTTAATCCGAAATCGGCCGAACTGCTACAGCTCATGACAGGTTAGTGGAAACGTATATCACCGAAGGGAAACATCCAACATCGGCGGGGCTTACAAGTCCTAAGCGACATCCGCGTGCTGCTCTCTTGGCCAAAGCCTCTGTATCATCTTGTGGAAGCTGCTTCACCGGCAAGGGGGCGTTCTTGTTCTCCTCGCACAAGGACATCGCCAGTCAACTTCCAGGCGCCGTTATTGCAAGTCTGCCCCCTGCAAGTCCAACATGTCAATGAGTAAGCTTGCAATCTCTGGCCCTTCACCAAGCCTCCTCGTCCTCCAGGTTTCCGAACAGCGCGTCCTGTCCAACTGCAGTCTTAAAAAGTGTCTGCGAGAGCGCTTCTTACCGACTGCTTTGAAATGCTTCGTACCCAATCAAAGGCAAGAGCTTGTCACAGCACTTGATGCACACGAGACTGGACTCCAGGGATGGTGTGCGAGTCCTCCATGGCCTTATCTTTTGTCTTGGTGGCCTGCACAGCATGAGCCAATGAGAACCTTGACCAGTTGATCTAAGCCATGCCTGCGTTTCTTCCACTGGCAGCTTCGCTACAGGATTCTCGAACTCATCAGATAGATCATCATCATCTTTTCTTTTCTTCTCCTTTTTGGACTTCTTGTCCTTTCCATCCTTCTTCTCTTTTTTTGCTTTCTTGTCGCCTTTGTCTTTGCCTCCTTTCTTCTCCTTTTTGTCCATTGCCCGGTATCGGGTGGAAGTGATGCGTCTTAGACAAGACCTGATGAACCACTGGGAAAGGCTTAAGCACCCAAGAAGCCGGCATGCTGCTCAGTGTCCTTACTCTTGCAACCCCCCTGTTCTGCTCATGAAGACGTTGAATGCACGTGCTTGCATGTATGCTGTATTCGGAGCAGGTCTGATAGGTTTCTGATCCTGCCAGCTCATGGAATCACGCAACAAGGAGCCGGAACGGCTGGAATGGGTGAACTTTAGGATGTCACATAACTGACTGCACGCTCATTCCCAACCCCGGAAGCAAGCCCACCGTTTGCAGCTGAATTGCCACTCGTGCGAACCGCTTTACGCTCTCGCAACTCGGACAAGCCTGGCACTGCTTTCAGTTTCGTCCTCTGCACCGCTTTTTTCCGCAAGCAAGCGAAGTGAGCCAAGCTTTGGGATCACGTCGGAACCTTGAACATGTTGATTGCTACCCTTTGTACATCCGGAAATACAGCTTTCTTCTAAATTCCCGTCACGTGCCTTAACAAACCTAAGCGGCCTGGGTGCCAGAGATGCCGGCGTTCACGCTTGGTTTCTGGGAGGCGGATACTCTCCTACTGTGAGCTGCTGCTGCAGGCGGCCGCAGGCCTGGCAAAAGCACTCAAGTGCCTCTCCGAGCCCTTCCCGTCTCCACCCCCCAAACACGCACTCCTGCTTCATCATGTAGCTCAGCAATGTCAGCGCCGCCAAGGGCCACGTAAAGTCTGGAAACAAGGAGATGCTCAATACGCCCAGAAGCACCTCTCAGGTTCCGTGGAACCATCTGTCAAATTGGAAGCAACCGGTGCAGATGGCCTAATCTCTGCATGTCAGAGGATCATGCCACTGACTTCGTGAGGCGAAGCAACAAGGCAAAGGCGCGGCCACTTCAGCTAGCTTGCCCAGCATGTCCGCTGCATGGAGAGCATTCGAGCAGCTGGAGCAATGCTCCTGAGATCTTGGATCAACATCTGGCACAGGCAACGAGCGCTTCACAAGTCTGGCTTCCTGCTCGGCTCAGGGCGACTTGTCCAAGACATGACGATGACCAGCTTGCCGCTGCTCGACCGCGGGCATACAAACCAGAAGTTCTGAAGCACCCCATAACAGAAATGAAACATGCCAACAGGGGACCGTGTGGGAGTAGCGCCGCTCCAGGAGTTCATACTTGCTTGCCCAGTGCCTCCGCCCGCCTGGAAGGGCACCAATGCCACATTCTGCTAACTGCCGACTGGAGCCCCCCCGTTCGTGGTGTATGTCAGGCCCGTGGGATGGCGGCACAAATCTCGAGACATCGAATCGGTGGAGTGCGAGCTAAGTGCTTTCTAGATCCCACGAAGCACATGACGGTCAACTATGAGCTTCCGAGGTGCGCTGCCGAGCCCAGACGATGCCACCTCCATTATAGCTCCAAGGCAATCGGGATGGGTGCTTGTAAAGACTGCTCGAGTGTTCAGAGTCACCTCTGCACTAGACCGTCTTGAGTATCTTGAGAACATGTAGAAAAGCCTTCTTTTTCAACACAGTCAAGAGAGCCCTCGCACCCTCTGCGTGTGTCCGCGCCCTGGTACTGTACTTCCTTTCTTTCGCGAGGGTAGAGGAAGAGGGAGCAGCCAATTGTTTGGGGAGCCTGGTGAAAGTACAAGAGAGGCAGACCGAGCGACCACTGGCAAGACTGCAAACCTCCTCGTACTTTCTTTCTTTCTGCTGGGCTTAGGGGTCACGTCGTGACCCTCAGGCCATTGGCCCACCCAACCACACAATGTGCCTATTGAATATTGAGAGGCTGGCTTTGGGGTCTCACTGACTCCTGGTACTTCCTTCTCTCTCTTTCGCCAGGGCTGTGGTGGGAGTTACCTCCCCAGAGCGCGCTAATGTGCCCGCGCCTGTTCCAGGTGCCAAAAAAACTCTTTCTCTCTTGCTTGCTTGCTTAGGGTATGGAGGCCAAAGCCCCCGAGCCCGAAGGCCTACCTATTCGCGTCTGCAAGTCTGTGCGACGCCTTCAGGGGTTGGGGGTGGACTTGTTCCCCCTTGTGTAACTGTAAACCCTCCTCCCGAACAACACCACACCTCCAAACCATTTCCATGCAAACTCCTTCAGGCTGCGCACGGGTCATCCGGGTCTTCCCAGAAACAACTACTGGTGGGCTTGACCGTGCACCCTCACAGGACCCCCAAAAAACACTGTTGTGCACTGCACTGCCCACACTGTTTCGTGCCTCGGGAGCTTCACTCCCTGCACTTTGGGAAGCTCTGACTACACCCCGACCTTACCTGCCTCCCCCCAGGCCTCCAGTTTTCTGGGGCGGTGGGAGGAAGTGAAAGTTTGTCGTGAAATTCCCGTGTTCGGACAGCTCTCATAGTTTTGACATCTCTGTCAAGGGTTTGTTCACAACTGTAGCTGACACATGCTCGAATTTGCCTCTTTTCTTCTGTCGCAAGGGTGGAGGATGGGGGAGCTCGAAATTGCCTCTCTTGCTTGCATTCGGACAAGAGGCACGAGTTGCCTCTCTCTCTCTCGAGATTCGAGGGGTTGCCACGCTTCAGTTCAGGCATCGGGAGTGATGTGGGGAATGCCGCCGGTTCAAGTCTTCTTCATCTCGTGGCATGTGTGAAACTCGTCAACAACAAGTCTTGACACAAGGTCGACCTCCCTCTCAACACTGCCTCCTTGCCTTCAGAGAACTGCTCCAACCAGCGATGATAACAAAGCACCGCTCCATCGGCACTTGTGGGCATAAACAGCCGCTCTCGCCACTGCGCGTCCTGGACTGCGCTCTGCGAGAGAACCACGCACTGCTAGGCTCTGCTAGGCCTGCATGCCGTCTGGTGCCAGGGTCTCGCCCTGAAAGTGGAGGAAGATGTTGTCATCCTGGCGCTCGGGTGTCAGCTTTTCTACTCGGACTTGTCAAAACCCACATATTCAACAACACCATGCCACAGCCGGTCACTGCGGTGTCGGTTTTCAAGCACCCGACCCGTAAAATAGATTGAACGGGTCGTGCGCACTGCCTCTGCAAAGGATTCAGTGGGTCGATCGTTGCTTGCACGAGACAAGGGTAGATCCCCCCAAACAGAGATAGAGGAACAAGACGACTACGATGACCACGACCAGCAGCCATCACCAGCCAAACCAAGACCACCGCGACGACCACTACAGTACGACCAGTACGCGACATACCGCGACCACAAGTGTGACCAGGGAGCGGTGGGAGACCCGAGGAGTTCACCCAGCCAGCCAGACCACCACCGAGAGACTTCAGGAAACTATCCATGAGTCCAGAGACCAAAAACTGACCCGCAGGAAACCCACCATCAGGAGACTACCAGCTCCATCTAAACTAAACCTTCCGCCAGAAACACCTCACCACACTTGATGGAACCTTCCGCATGCGGAACCCAGGGTACACCTCAGCGCTGCTTCCCTGTTTGCCCCCATGTACTGAGGAATTCAGTCATCACCACAGCGGTAGCTGCTAGCTGGAGGAACCTTGCGCGTGCACCACACTGATTTGTGAACAAATTACCTGCAGCTTGGCGGCAGCCAGCAGCCCCGCACACCTGACGGACCTGACTCAACCCACCTGCCAGCCCTCGAGCCCTACATCTGGGCTGCAGCGCCGTGTCCTCTAGGACCTTGTGATTGGAGAGGTGTGTGACGAATGCCTCGCACGTGCTAGATCCGGCTTGTGAATCTGCCAAGCGAGGCTGGCAGATCGCGCCATATTTTCCATTCGAGCATTGGTACTGGTAAAGTCTCAGTCGGCCGGTGTTGGGCCCCGTCTCGCCTCTAGCTTTGCAGTCGACAAAGTTCTAACAGTGACAAGAATTCCGACGAATGAGTGTTAGGCTTTATGGAGCGCGAGATTGCACAGGGGCTCCTCTGTACAATTGCAAGCGATGGTGGTGGCGCCGGCGAGAGCCACAACGGTCACCATGCGCCTCCATTCAGCGTGCACAGCTCCCAGCTGCGAGGCAGAATGACCACGGGGACAAACACATGACATCACGAAGCTGTGCTCCTGAGCGTCTTGTCATCACAAGGACATCTTCGTTGAAGGCTCCTAACCCCAGGTCTTCAAGGTACGGCTGGGAACTGCGTTAGGTTGGCACCAATCCGTGCCAGCCATTCTCGGCTCTGCGGTGGGCTAGCCTCGAGCAGCGAAATAACGACGAAGGGGGTGGCGAAGATGCATTAGGCAGGCACCATGTCATGCCACACGAGCCCCAGGCTCGTCATTGGAAAATGTGTATCCAATACAAAGAAAGAAAGAGATGCTTCACGAAAAGCCCCGCCGACGATCCCTGTTTGCTGACCTTTCTCGATATTTGTTGCTGGAAGTCTGTGTGTGTATATATATATATATAATTATCTATTTATTTATTTATTTATGTATTGATTTACTCACCATACCATACTATACCATAACCATACTATACTATACTTTTGCTAGTCTTAGTTTCAACAAGGCCAGAGCAAACAGAGGTTCTGCGCCGGCTTGCACACCGAGGCCTTGAGCCAGGGTAGTCTGGAAGAACGGGCCGAGTGAGGCAACTCCATTCTGTCTCAAGGTAGAACCTCAACCCGGTACCGCCGATAGGCTATACTGCTATACCTTTCAGAATGAGCCGAGTTTGGGACTTTCAACGCCGGTAGATACTCGAGGTTTCCGGGGGAGGCACCTTGAAATTGCGAATGAAAAGATCGAGTCCCCTTTGGCTATGCCAGACGGATTCCTCATCAACTCCTACAGCCAAGCTGACTGAGCCGGATCGGAAAATGCAGCTCTACTGTTTTCTTTGGTATCTTCCAGCTCGTGGGATTCGTGGGCGATCATCGATGTTTCCTTCTTGGCCACCTCGGAGGACACGCTGATGGGCATCTGTTTCTCAAGCGCCTTGGCGGAAATCACGGAAGATGTGGACATCAGCTGCGATCGCCGCGTCAGCACTAGCGAGGCCTCCCCCACCTCGGAGCCCACGGCTGTCACGATCTGCGCAGCCATGCGCAAGTCATAGATGGAAAGGTTCGCGAGAACATCTCCCATGGAATCCTGGCCCAAGTCTTGGATCCTCTTCGACAGAAGGCAGAGCTTCTCACTGAGAACACGAGGCTTGGGAATAGGTCCAAGTGCAAGAAGAGCACTTTCTTGAGAGCCACCCATGACATTCAGTCGGATCAACGCGGAGAGAGTGACACAAAGCATGAGGAAGACCACGCCGTTGAGGAAGATGACGATGCCTATGACGGCATTCGTGAGCTGCTGCATTGTGCCCTCGGACAACTCAGGTGCAAAAGCTCCCAAGATGGCCATCATCAGGATCAGGCAGAAGCTGATGGTCGCGTCGAAGGCATTCAAGGCCGGAAGCTTCCAGGGCCACGTCATGAGCTGCACGACCATGTAGATCAGCATCACGGACACGATGATCAACATCTGCACATAAGGACTATCACCAGCCGCTACGATTGCCAGCGATAGCAACAGCCCACGAGGCATCATGAAAGTTCCATACCACCAGCAGTCGCTGCGGAAGCGGAAGAGAAGGAAGCGTGTTGCCGCAAGGAACCATGCGTCCCCAGCTGCGGCTCTTTTTGGGGCAATGACTGTGGCGTAAATTGCCAGGGCATAGAAGCTGATCATTCCACAAAGGACACAGACCCCCGCGATGAACATGGGCGTGTGCTCGGCACTCTCGAAGCAGAAGATGCCGTTGTGTTCCAGCATGCCGCTCTTGCCGTTTGGATGCGAGTAGCACATCATCGGGGACAACGCAATCTTACTGTAGATCGTGAAACTGACCTGCATAAACTGGCCTAGGGTACTGATCAACTTGCCGCTGTCGAACTGCCAGCGGGCCGGCAAGAGCTTGCTGAGGAAGCTGCACACCACCAGCCACACCAACGCGCATGGAAGCATGGCGGCTGTCATGTGGTATCCGGCCACTGGCGAACTGGACACGCAGTCGAAGCCCACTGCTTGCAGGTCCAACGTGAAGAGGCTCATCAAATCGAACATCCATTGAAGCTCCGACGGCCAACTGAATGAGATGTAGCCCACGATCCCAACGTTCTGCAGCATGCTGATGGTCATGGCCAGGGCACACGAGGTGGCCAACATTGTGGTGGCCTTGGCCGTCTGCTTCATGTTCATCATGTAGTAAAGCGCCGGAATGGAAACGGTGGCAGCAATGCCGGCAATGAGCCAACCGCCTACGCTGAAAGGGGTGCACTCCCGGCAAGCATCGGAATTCCATGCCTGACCAGCCGGGCATTGCGTGCATGGAATGCCTACCCGTCCACCGGCGCATGCCCCAGGCAGGCCACCGGGACAAGACTCCACTGGAAGGCATCTGTAGACATCAAACGGATCGGCGATGTCGGTGTAGAAGCCCGGCTGCACTTCTGCAGTGCGACCGCCGTCGCATGTCAAACCCTCGGAGCACGGAATGCATTCGCCAGCTTCGTAGCGCGTGTTGCCAGCGCATACGACGCACTGTCCCTGGAACAACTCGCCCTGACACTGACAAGCGTCTGAATCAAGGGCACCGCGAGAAAAGGTCGTCAGTCCCGGCGGGCATGCTGCGCATGTCGCCAATCCCTTCTGTGCCGCATAGCGGCCAATCGGGCACTGCATACATCCCGTAGATTCCGTCTCGTTTGCAAAGAACCCCTGGCTGCATTCCTCACACCCATCTGCCCCAAGCACATTGTTGTAGCTCCCCGGTGCACATGGATGGCACGCTGACATGCCCGATGCGTTTGTGAACGTGCCAACATCGCATGGCTGGCACTCGAGCATCCCTGCTGCCGCATACTTGCCCGCCTCACATGCAATGCACCCAAGCTGCACTGAGAAAACCGTCCCCGCAGCACACTGGGCAATGCGGTCCGATGGGACCCAGGCAGCACCCAAGGCACAAGTGCCAGTGCTACAAGGCACCAGCCGGTTGTCGTAGGGGCTCCACACCAGATCTGCGAGCCACAAGATACCAGAGCTGGAGCGCTGTGCCAGATCGGTAAACTCGTTGCCCGGTCCACCGGTGATTTGCCGAATGAGTTGCACACCATCGCGGTCGCCGAAGGAAGGAGGAATGGTCGTCGGCTCAATGCTATTGAACTGTCGAACTCGGCCCGTCAAGCCCATGTAATCTTTTCCCAAAGACATCTCGTACAAGGCCGACCGGGAGGTGGAAGTGCCAAGATCTGCGAGCGAATGGTTCTGCTCAATCAGGTAGGTGTGCAGTAGAGAAGCCAAGTGCCAAAGGCCATCATAAAAGTAGCCGGTCCAGACATAGTCGCAGGCACCAAGCCCATTCGCGAATTGCTGGCAGGCGGTGTTGTAGTAGTTGGAGATGTCTGCAAGTCTCGTTCCCGAGAGGCCGTGAAGCTCGTTGGTACTCTGGATCGGTGACCGGCCGCTAATCATGAGTCCACCAGAGACTCTGGCAAGCTGCTCAGCCGTGCAAGGGCACTCAGGTGTTCCAGCCATGACATTCGTGAGGTTGTTCACCCAGTTGCCAAAAGCTGCGATGAACCAAACGTAATCCGGCGGCAACATGCCGCGCAAGTAGTACTGGCACATCATCCACATGCCGATGTACTCCGGAAGGACCATCATGTTGATTCGTGAATCGCGAACCTGGACCTCGTCTGCAGCGCTCACAGCATCTGCTAGGGAGTTGACGGTGCGGTCGAGCAAAACCGTCCAATCGTAGGCGCCCGCATCCAAGTCTCGCTGAATGAGCTCGAGGAAGAATGCTTTGGCGCCAGCTGTGTAGAACGGCCCGTCCATCACTCCAACACGACGCCAAGAGAACATCTTGAACACCTCGAAGATAGCGGTCACTTTGAAGCGGTCAGACGGCGTCATCCTCGTGAAATACGGATATCGTGTCCGGTCACTGAGGCTAGGTGAGTCGCACCCGGGAGATACCATAAGGACCCTGAAGAGACGCGCAGCATCGCTTACTGCTGCACATGCTTGACTGCAAGAGTCGCCCAAAATAGCGTGCTTTCGGGGACCAACCGTGAAAGCTTCGATGGTGGCCTCCGTGGCAACTGCCTCATCGCAGCCTGAGTCGGTAAGATGCAAGTTCACTCGGTAGCCTGGAAGATAGCCGCTGTCCTCGATCTCCTGTGCCGCCAACGCGAGAAGAGGCTCGGCCATGGTCATCATGTCCCCAATCACACCTGTGTACGGGCTGATGACGGCAATGTTGATGTCTTGTGCCCCTGCCCTGGAAGCACTGGGATTCACATCCACGGTGCACTGGCCGCCGTTGTAGTATCTGCAAGGCCAAGCCGTACCTCCTGTCGCAGTGCAAATCTCGGGGCAGATAGCCCCAGCAGAAGGAAGCAGGGCCATCGCTACCAGCCATGACGGACACGCCGTCATCCCAGGGGCCAGCCCCATTGGATGTCGCTATTTCAGATACGAGCTGCGCCCAAATGGCTGCTGCAGCTGCCATGTGAGCCAAGCTTCTTTCCCAAACAAGCTTCAGTCTGGCAACGGACAAATTTCGTTCAAGGCACTGGGAGAGCAGGTGAGAATGCCAACTCGAACACGAAGCACAGTGGTGGAGGGATCTTGGACACCTCGAAAACTACTCGAACCTTGGAGGCAAAGCTGCATGGAAGGCACGCTCTCAGAAAAAAGGCGGTACGGCGGTACATGTCACATGTCCAAGCTGTAGCCACCCCGAGCGCTGTCAAGTGGCGAAGATGCCTTGGACGGCATATCTGACACTGGATCCCGCTTACTCTTGTCCGACGAGATCTGCCAAATGCCCCAACAAACACGCACACCCTAAGGCTGCCATGGCTCGACAGCAACCTGGTCGCCCCGGAGTTACAAAGACAATGTTCCAGTCTCGGTATGACTCAGGCCGCGCGGTTAGGGCCACCACCTGGTCCAGATCAGGAGCACTTGGATGTGCTGCATCGTCTGGACCTGTGCTGCCAAGCTGCATGGTTGGGTGCCACGAAAGACCTCAGCAAGTCAGTACGCAATGCAAAGCCTCACCTATCACTTACACGGGTCTCGCGAACCGCCGCAAACTTCCGCCAACATCAAGGCCGGGGGGGTGTCTATCTTTGTGCGCGCAAGTTGATCCATTAGCCATGGGTTCCCTGATATCCGGATGCCTTCTCCCGGCAAGCTTATTCGAGGCCAAGCCGCACTGCACCAGGAGCTGATGTGACCCGCGAACCACGGAAGCCTCCAGCTTGCGGCAAATGCTGCTTTTGCTTGGCTTGTGCCAACTAGTCTCGTCCAGGGATTTGGCACAACATGGCTAATTAGGCCAAAACAATTGTTCGCCTCGCCTGCGGCCGTTGGCGCTCCTTCTATTCGGATTGGCACGGGTGCTGCTTTGTCACCTCGACAGGCCAGAGAGGGCGTGCACCCTCTATGCAGGGATACACAGTCACATGACATACATGTCGAACAAGTAGAGCCAAGAGAATCAATGAGAGAGCGAGAGATAGAGCTAGATAGTTCGACAGTTAGACTTAGACAGATAGACCGATAGACAGACAGAGACAGACAGGCAGATAGGTACGAGTATCTACGTTTATACGTTTGTTCATCCCTTCCCCCTGTGGAGTTCCGAAACCCCCCTTTGAGCGCAGTAATTAAGGAGTGAGGTTGCGGGAATTGTGCCGCACTTACCTTTGGCGGCCTATCCCTACATGAAAGGGTGCAGTCAAAGATCGCTGGATTCGTTGGATGCGTCACAACAGTTTTGGATATATCATACTGATACTAGAAGCCTATGTTATAAGGACATAAGGATATTGAGAAACCCTGGTTTGGAGCTTTTGGGCTGGGCTTATGGTTTAGGGAGTTTAAGGTTAAACGCTTCTGGGTTTGGGGTTTAGGCTTAGGAGTTTAGGGCTCGGGCGGCTAGGGTTTATGGTTTAGTTTTGGGCTTCTGGCGTCTGGACCTGCTGAGTCTGCTGGGGCTAGCCCTTCATTCCCAGCTCGGTAATTAAGCCCGGTGGCTTTGCTGCCGCAACCGGGCCGGACCTAGATTACCGAGCTAGCTCGGTAATCAAGCCCGGCGGCTCTGCTGCCGCAAGCGGGCCGGACCTTAATTACCGAGCTAGCTCGGTAATTAAGCCCGGTGGCTCTGCTGCCGCAACCGGGCCGGACCTTAATTACCGAGCTAGCTCGGTAATTAAGCCCGGTGGCTCTGCTGCCGCAACCGGGCCGGACCTTAAGTACCGAGCTAGCTCGGTAATTAAGCCCGGTGGCTCTGCTGCCGCAACCGGCCGGACCTTAATTACCGAGCTAGCTCGGTAATTAAGCCGGGTGGCTCTGCTGCCGCAACCGGACCGAACCTTAATTACCGAGCTCGGTAATTAAGCCGGGTGGCTCTGCTGCCGGGCCGGACCTCAATTTCCGAGCTAGCGCGGCAATTAAGCCCTGCGGCCCGACAACTACCATTGAGTCACTGTTTCTGCTAATTCCCGAGCCTGGGGGCTTAATTACCGAGCTCCGGGCTGTGCCGGTCAATCCCAATTCCCGGGCCTTCGGGCTTAATTGCTGCACTCCGGGCTTAATTGCTGCACTCCCTTCGGTAATTAAGGATTTTGCAGCAGATTTCAAGCCATAAAGTAGCGCCGAACCCCCGAATCCAGGGGTTCGGCGCTACTTTATGGCTTGAAATCTGCTGCAAAATCCTTAATTACCGAAGGGAGTGCAGCAATTGAGCCCGGAGCTCGGTAATTAAGCCCGGAGCCCGGTAATTAAGCCCGTAGGCCCGGGAATTAGCAAAACCGGTTGCTCAATGGTAGTTGTCGGGCCGCCAGGCTTAATTACCGAGCTAGCTCGGTAATTAAGGTCCGGCCCGGTTGCGGCAGCAGAGCCACCCGGCTTAATTACCGAGCTAGCTCGGTAATTAAGGTTCGGTCCGGTTGCGGCAGCAGAGCCACCCGGCTTAATTACCGAGCTAGCTCGGTAATTAAGGTCCGGCCCGCTTGCGGCAGCAGAGCCGCCGGGCTTAATTACCGAGCTAGCTCGGTAATTAAGGTTCGGTCTGGTTGTGGAAGCAGAGCCACTGGGCTTAATTATCGAGCTAGGTATGAAGGGAAGGCTAGCCCCAGCAGACTCAGCAGGTCCAGAAGCCAGAAGCCCGAAACGAAACCATACATCCTAGCCGTCCAGAAGCGTTTTACCTTAAACTCCCTAAACCATAAACCCAGCCCAAAAGCCCTACACCAGGGTTTATCGATATCGATATGTCCTTATAGCATAGGCTTGTATCAGTATAAAACACCCAAAACTGTTGTGACAAATCCGACTCCCCCAACGATATTTGACTGCACCCTAGAATGTAGAGATAGGCCTCCAAATGTAAGTGCGGCGCAATGGCAGCAACCTCGGTCCTTGCTTGCTACGCTCCCGAGAGGGCTTCGGAAGTCCACAGCCAGGATCAGAAACTATCGCAAAACCTGAACTGACCTCGTGTCTAACCGCACCCTACTCTTGCAGGACCTGCTGCCAAAAGCTAGTGCAGCAAAGGTCTTGGGCTTATTCACCGCACCAACCCTTATTCACCGGGGGGTTTCGGAACTCCACACTTCCCCCTCATATTGAGTGGAGGGCCCCCTGCAACAGAAACTCCATAAGTGCCTTCACTATTAAATATTGTACAAGTTCATCATTACCTCACTTTCGGGGATCTTGCTCTTGCTCCTGCCCTTGCCCGCGCTCCGCTCCTGCTCTTGCTCCTGCCTGCTCTTGCTGTTGCTGTTGCTCCCGCTCCTGCTTCTGAACCCGCCTAAGTTAAGATGGATTTTAACAGGCCGGGATGATTCAGCGGGGTTTCCCGGAAGGTGTTTGTACTATTACGAGGGGAGTTTAATAAATGGGGGAAGGAATTACGGAGGCTTCGGGAAGGCAAGCCGGACCTGATTAAGGTGCAAGTGATTTCTGTGAACTTCAGCACAAACTGTCAGCCAGTGTACGTCATGACCTGGAACCAGTGCCAGCAAAGGAAACCTTTCGCTGAGCACCGAGCGCTTGCTGATTGTGTCATGGTGCGTAAATGGCAGATGGGAGGGGTCCTGATGTGCAGCTCTCGCAGTTCAGTGGTTGATGGACAGTAGTTACCCAGTAGTCCGGTAGGGACTTCGTGGCTACTTGCTCGTCGCAGGGCATCGCTTCTGGCAGGTGTAGCCACGGCTAGGATGTTGATGATGGCTCCTGCTGTGCCTGTGATTTCCATTTCTGAATCCTCTGCATCTCACTCAAGTTCACTCCTGCAATGGATCATTCACTACATGGCAAAATTGAAATACGAACTCGTTCAATTTTGAAACCAGTGGGTTTCGGGGTGATATGATCTGCTGTGAGCTTTGCCACGGCTTGGGAAGCTTCGTCAGATGGCTGAGGCGCGGGCCAGCACATTTTCCATCACCGTGGGCAAATCCATGGGGAGGTCGCGTGAGTAGTCAACGTATTTCACGCCCGTTGTTTCGACAATCTCCTCATTGTCTTCCAGCACAAGCCAAGCGCAAAGTGAAATAAGCAGGAGAACGCAGAAGACTGCTGAGGTTACAATTTCAGATCCGCTTCCTCCCAAACAAGCACGTGACACCCCGAGCAAGAGCTGGAAGATGCACGTCTGCCAAATCGAAAAGGCTTCTGCTGGCCTCGCAAGCCACAGCATCCAAGGCAGCCGCATCGGGCGGCTCCATAGAGCCGAAGAGTGGTGCCTTGGCTAACAAGCGAACAGCCACGGAACCACCCAGGACCCACCACTTGGTTGCTGTCAGAGTGCAGCCCAAGCGAACAGTAAGCCATGACGTTCCTCTGCAGGTAGCACCGTTGTACAAGCCTTGAGCGCGAGAAAATCAAAGGTTGCGCTGGCAGCGTGGTCTATCCAGCGTTCCACAAGCCTCACAGGCCTCACTGCAGCCCTTTGCAACCCTCTCTGAAACACTGTTCCACTTTGTGACAGTGACCTAAGACGAGTTGATGCACCGAGCTCGCTGACGATTGAGCAACGGCTCCCTGACCCGAATCGAGATGCCAGAGGGCCCGCGCAGTCTCTCGTATGCGATCGGATTCAGATTCTGCTTGCGGAATGCGCGAGCAGCGGCCGGTCTCACCTGAAGATCAGGGGCACGTATTAGTAGGTGTGTCTGGTAGTCTTAGAGTCTTCCTACATCTCCAGGCCAGGTCAGGCCTTCGAACGACCAACCGTGGTAGGGGCACTCAATGTGTCCGTTCTCTCGGATCCGCCCCTCGGATAGCCGCGCTGCACCTTAAGGATGCAGCTGGTCATGGGGATTTCCTGTGCTGAGTTGTGGTAAGTCAACGATCTGGAAGTTCAGGACCGTCTGTTTTCAGTAGCCTCACTGCTGGATCCAAAGCCATTTCCGCTCCCGCATGCATCCCGGGCACGGCTTGGTCCACGTGTCTCCCCAACAAGACAACGAGCATTTCGGAATGGGAATGCTGAAGCGGCGCAAAGTTTTCTTTGGCCCCAGTGGCTACAACTACACCGCTGATTTTACATGTTGGGGCCCTGCCATCTCCAGTCCACTGCTGGCTAGCATCGATGAGGGCACTCATCCAGGGCCGCGAACCAACCAGCTCCGTTGTGCCAGAATACAACACTGGCACCACACACATCGATGCAGTGAGGCCTGGACCTGGATCGGCGTCGCCACCATCGTAAGGTGCAATAACTCCAGACACTCACCATCGTCACTTGATCTCAGGCTCTGGCTTGTCCGTCGTGCCGGTAAAGCACAAGGGATACCACGCATGAGCATAGATGGCCGTGGTATCATCAATTGCACTCGCTGCATGGGCCTTCAGACATGTGCAGGACTAGACTTCCCTCATTCACACAAGCTCGTGCCTTCAATGATCGCAAGAAGGGGCCATGTCGCCGTCGGATGCCAACCCTGGGATGACAGGCGCTAGAGTCTCGAGGTCCGAGAGACCTGCGAACACCCGAGGGTGTCACGCTGAACCGAGAAACTTGTGGACCAGCAGGCTGGCAAACGCCAGCCTGCCGAACGCCCGCTGGCTGCCGTGAGCCACTTTGGGCATCACCTGTCCAGTGCCACTGCGTATCTCTCGCTTACCGCCCCCAGTGTTGCACTGTCGTCCACAAGGATCCTTGGACTGCGCGGGCGCATGCTGGCAAGGGTTCCAGGGGCATATGCCGGCACGCCGCGAAGACCCGAAGCCGTGCGAGAGGCAAGCCATCATCGCAGGCTCGTCTACATTACATGTGAATTGCATCGGGTTCGCTTCTATGCAAAGCTACACGGCTGACAAACGGATCAGACAGCTGTGCCTGTTCGGCTTTTGATCTAGACAGGCGTCTCTACGCACAGCATTCGCCTTGCATTTCGAAGTCGCAAATATCTCCAAAGTTACGATTCATTTGCTTTGACATGCTTTTTTGGACGACATACTGGCGACATGTCGCGTCCACTGTTTATCCCCAAAAGCTGAAACCTGGAATAACTCTCCTGAGTCGGAGCCATCAGCTTCGAGCCTATACGCAGGTGGGTACTGTTGAGGGTGTTGAGCCAGATCGGCATAAATCTCGAAACTCTTCCTGCAAGAAACTATCCAACTCTGGACGGACTGTTCACTACCATATCGTACCAGATCGCTGGGTAGGACCCCGGCCAAGGCTTGCTGAACGTCGCTCTTATCACCTGGCATGACATCTTCCGGAGTACAACGGTTAGTAATCCTGACAGTGCTTAGTGCTTAGCCCGCCTTTCTTGTAGACCCAGAGTCGTCGCCTCATGGAGGATTTACAAGTGGCGTGGCAGGGTCCCGGAAAAGTTGGCTATGCCAGCTCAGCTCGCTGCTTGCCATTGATCTGAAGCTTCTTCCTTGCCTGCTTGCTGCAGGTAGACGCAAGCGCAAGGTTAGCTGTTCTGAGAACCCAGCCATCTCGAGGAACTCCTGCAGCTCTGTTTAAGCAGGGGATCTGGGACTGGGACTTGGTAAAGCGCAGGACCGCTCCTCGAGGGCATCTGCTGAGCCCCTGCGGATCAGTTCAGGGCCTTTGTTCTTCTCGCTGGGCTTCCTCTCCTGAGTTGGCGGTCTGGACCATGAGATGACCGGTCTTTCTTGCGCATTCAGGCTAATTGTCGTCTGCTTGACGACTGCTGGCACAGAGAGAGAGGTCTTGTCTTGGAGATGTATGGCTCCAGACGTTGTGGGTAATTGTAGAGCGCAGGCAATCAGAGTCGGGTCGAGGTTCCCATGGAGCTGCAGGGCGCTGTGGGGCACTGTGGGAAGGTGCCGGAATTGGCGCTTAAGACATCGCGTCGCCGCTCGGATCCATGGACGTGCGGAACAGCCCCTCAATGCTCCTCTTGACAAGTCTTATCGGCGCTGTTGGAAACCTGTCTTGGTATGTTCCGACATATGGTTGAATGGACTGCTTGCTTTCGTCGGCAAGCCGAAGCTCCGAACCTGAGGCTGATACTTACATGGCTCTAGCCACTATATAGTCACTATAATCTATAATAAGGTTGATATGTACAGTGGTAGCCACAGCAAATACCTGGCAGGGCTGACGAAGCGGAAGCCATCAAAATCCGTCGATACCGGGCTTCCGTTTGATGCCATGACGGAATCACCGCCGTCAGTCGCCGGTGACGACATTTGACGACCGTGAGATCGGAAAAGTATTGACGATGTGCCTTGCATTGTCGACCCGCTAACCCTGCTGATTTCGCGAACGCCGTTGATGTTTCCAAGGTTCCTTGTTTCTTGTTGTCCTAGTCCTCGAGGTTAAGCGGTTTTGGCCAACCGTGGCCTTGAGGGATGGATCTTCGAGCCAGGGGACGGAGCCTTGCACTAGGGCACCTTGAGGGCACCTCGGCACCCGTTCATGTACCAGAGGGCGAAAACTATCGTCAACCTGAAAGGTCAGAGGATGAAGTTTCGGCCTGGTAGGCGCGAAGGAAACATCTGCTCCTCGATGCTCCAATTGGCCAGAACTTGTCTCATGGAAAGCTGAGTGCCGTGCGGCCTAGAAAGCAGCACCTGTGACGGCAAGCCGCGACATCTGCTACCCTCCTCCTCGCCGGTCGCCGACTTGGCGTGAAAACGCGTGCAGCTCCGCGGACCCAAAGTGAAACTTGCACGCTTCGTCCAAAAAACCAATGCGAGCCATGAACGAAGCAAGAGAACAGTGAAACCGAACCAGACATAATGCAGCGTGAGAGTAGAGGCCTTGCTAAACCACTTGTAAGATTTCGGTAAGTTTGCTCACCACAGAATCGAAACAGCACGACTGCCACTTTTATTGGCAGTTTCTTGGAAGCTTGTCTTCAGTTTGGTTTGTCAAGTCGCGTCTTGCATTCTATACCATTCATGACGGGTCCAGTCCGGTCCAGTCTGCTGGGTGAAAACCCTGGAAAGTCATACTTCAGGAAAGGCTCGTCGCGGTAGAAGACTCGGACCTGTCACCCGAGTTCAACTCAGACGCTTGCGTGTGACCTGCTGCGATTGCTTCATTGTCAACTTTGATCGATGTCAAACTCTGCTAAACAAGCCTGCACATGGGAGGAGTCGGGCTTCGAACCTTTCGATTTGCCTACAGACACAAGGCCGGGGAACGATCCTATCTGAGGAAATGTCGCGCTTGGGCCCTGGCCGTTGGCGTCCTCGGCTTCACCAGTGGCCCGAGCCTGAACCACATGCTGCAGTTGGCGTATAGCAAGATCTGAGATTCTAGACATGCCTCGCGCTTGTCTTCTTCCAGCAACTGCTTCATGAGGCTCTTCTTTAGTCCTTGGATAGCTGCATGCTCGAATCGACTGTGCTACAAGATGGAACAAGCCTGCAAATAGAAGTGGAGCCTCATCAGACGAAAGCACGCCATCAAGCACAGCATCCGAGCTCCTAACGGATTTGCTCCTTGCGCTTCTGCCGGTTGGAAACTCCAGATTCCTGCTCTTGCGCGGTCTACAGTCTACAGGCGAGACACTACCAACGACTCCTGCCCTCGATACTCCGGGCCAAGATTAGCGGAAACCAGCCGTAGATTCACGAAGTGCCAGTGGTTGGCTTGATTACCTGGCCGACTGGCGAAAGTCGGGCCTCTTCTTCGGACGACGCACTGTCCCTTTCAGCTTCGCTCACTGGCTTCTTCTCGCCTGCCACAGGTCCGCACACGACACAAGCACAACACAAGTAATGTGGCATGCTGGCATTCCTGTCAGTCTGCGGCTCCCAATCATGTAAAGTTCGTACCCCTGATCCGGGACTACAACGACAACTACTACTAGCACTCCTGCCCTGACGAATACTACCTCTTAAACACGAAGAGCTCAGGCTTAGTTCTCCTCACTGGAGAGAAAAGCACTTGTTGGGAAGCGGTGGGCAAACTAATTGCCTAATACATGAAAGGAGTCACGTCCCTGAGCTTCGAATCCCTCGAGCAACGAATCCCCAACAGCCGCGCACTTCGGTCCCGACTCCGGCCTGTGCTCCGGCGAAGTTGAGCTATCCTTTGCAACAGAAACTGCCTCCCAATGCCGCTGCAGCGACTGATCTGCGGCCCAGAGGCAAAGCCAAGATCTCGTCACGGCTTTCTTCGCCCAAGGGCACCTTGAGACTTTTGTCTCAAGTTTGACTTCCAGGCGTTCTTTGTGCAAGGCCAAGAGATCTATGTCTAAATGGGGATATGCTGTCAATCGACACAGAAACGCAAACTGGCAGAAAAAGCTACAGCCGCAAGCAGTTGAATGTCGACACTTCATGCAGTGATGCAGAACAAGCTGAAACAGATTAATTCGTGTGGGATGTTGCTTCGGAGATTGTCTAAGCGGGCATGCATATATACACGTCGAACAACAACTGCGCGGCACTGTGCCTCATGTTCCAGTCCATGAAGTTGTACAAACGCCATTCAATAGCCACTCGTGGGCACAGCCTATGCTCGCTCAAGTGAAAGGCTTAGGGGCGTAGATACCGAACGTGGCCTTGCCGAACCCTGAACCGACTGCAGAAATGCCTCTGTCAATGTTCAATGAAGCGGACCGACCTTGCTGGGCTTCAGCTCAAAGTGCTCTTCGGGGGACGCGCCTTGCGAATGGAGCCCGAACATCCGACAGGGTGTTCAGAACTCCCACTGAAACACGGAAGTCTCTGGAACCGCACGGCAGCTTTTCGGGATCGTGATCCAGGAAATAACTTGCTTTTGTGCAACATTACGATGGCATTGCTTGTTCCATTTGTTGGCACTCTTGTTCCATACAAACTCCTGTCGGGAAACAGTGCTCGCAGCCATATCAACATTACAAATTACATGTCGGGTCTCTGGAACCGCTCTGTCCCTGCTCCTGCTGCCGCTTACCGCTGCTACTGCTACTGCTACTGCCACTGCAACTACCACTGCTGCTACCACCACGACTACTACTACTACTACT